TAGTAGTACCGCAGCTTTCTGGGTCAATTAATGAGGTTGAACCGCCTACCGACCCGCGAGGGCGAGGTAACAACGCTAACACTTGAGTGTCAGCATCTCGGGAAATGGGCCATCAGCCATTTCAACAACGGTCTGCGAGTTGTGTTGATGAGGCATGTTCCGGTAGGTACGGAGAGTCGTTGGCGATCGCTACTGGGAGGCAGAAGACAAAGCACAAAACATGAGAGCACCCCCTCGTGTCGTGTGCGTGGGGGCGGGTCCAACGACTTCCGAAGATGACCTGTCAACGCGTCGCACGAATTCCACCACGCACGGCAGTAGTGTTGAGTATTTTCATGTTCTCTCGGACATCCGAACACGTCAACCGTACACACGACGCGCAGATATATACCGGCTACTACGTGGCATCGTACTGAGAGACCAAATACACCCATACTACACCACGTTCTACTCGTAGACAGAGTATGATGAGCCAATCAATGTAGTAACTACACATGTATGTCTGAATCTCTTCAAATGTCAAATTAAGTACAACTATCACTTAACGCACAATCGTGCACGGTAGAGCAGAGAGCAGTTATCAAAACAGCTCGATCTGTCTCGATTGCGACACCGTTGGTCTGGTGTTGATCAGCACGATACGCGAACAACGAACGAACGTAAAAAGGCAATTCCGTGTCGGAATTATGGCATTTTCTTTTTCAAGAGGGTGGTGGGAAGAACCCACCGGGTATTTTATTTGTTTTGTGGACTCCGATATCGGAGCCAGTTGTTTTTTTCTCTTGTCGGGTGCATCGCCATCAGCAGCACTCCACAACACTTGCACTGCACACCTACTTGCAGCCTGCAACACTTGTCCGCTCAATGCGTGCCAGACAGATATCCTCCTTCCAACACACGGTACCACAGAGAAAGACACAAGACTCGGTGCTGTCAGCTGCAGCTTCACAACGCACGCAGGACTGAAGACAACGACACGCACGTACGCCTTGCCTCTAACACAAGTGTTACCAACGCTTCTGTGACTGCACTACTCTTCTTCCGTTGAAAATCAGCTTCGACGACATACAAAACACACGCACTCCAAACAAAAAGGCGGAGCGTAAACAGGAAACGACTATTATATTTACGAACGGTTGCAGGGTGTCTAACGTCGCTCACGACACCGCCAGACGCCAACACCGCTTACACAAAAAACAAAAAAAATCGTCCGTTCCGTCACTCTTGGCCACGCGACTCACCCCGTTACAAACTCTCTCCGTAGGGATGGGACTGCAACACACAAACACCGCAATACTTCACCCCGGGGCGGGTACCCCCCACCTCCTTGGTGCATTACTGTTTTAGCGACGCTCAAACCAAAAGGAATTCAGCGTATGATTGCCAACAGAGACCATTTACGTCTACTACCTGCGATGACAACACAGCCAATTGCCACTGTACAGACCATTTACGTCTACTACCTGCGACGACAACACAGCCAGTTGCCACCGTACAGCAAATTACACCGAGCACAGCCGTACGTCAGGGGGCAGGAATCTCCACCAACAACTGGTCGCGTACACAACACAATGCAAAACTCTTCAAACACAACGTACTACACTACGGCTGCATGAGCGCAGAGGCCTTCTAGAACGTACCGTACCACGCACAGGTGTATACCGTAAGGTGCACGTCCTTTGTCCCTCGTATCAGTTTTCCCGCGGGAGGCTTCTGCCCAATTGCAAATAAACAAACAAATTCAAGGCACGCCAAAATCAGGCCGAACCGTCTCTCGTTCTTCCACCGAAGAACTTCGATCTACAGAACTCCAGGTGAGATGCTGCTGCCTCGTCGTAGCTCCTCTCTGGCCAGCAGCAACACATACCGTTCAACCAGCCGTAGATCACGGTGCCTTGTTCTCCTCAGTACGCCTGCATCGGCATCATCGGCGAGGGAGCGCGGCGGCGCTCGTGACAGGCGTGAACGCGAGCACGGCCCGCCGCCATAATTCAGTGCTGCTGGTGCTGGTACTGCTGGTGCTGCTGATGATGGTGCTGATGCTGTCGGGGGTGGAAATCGTCACCGATGTCCTCGCACCGCATTCCGCCCCGCATGCCGGGCGGGCCGGGGGGAGGGCCGTGCGGTCGGTGGTGTAGACCGACGGGGCTGCGGTGGTGGTGCCGTCCTGCCCTGTGAGGAACGGGGCCATGGTCCATGTCCATGCCGGCGGTGTCTCCGTCGTTGTCCAGGTGGTACATGCCGTGGTGTTCCGGGTGGCGACGAGGGTGGGCGTGGTGACCTGGGCCCATGCGCATTCCAGGACCACGCTCTCCTTCACCCCCGCTGCTGTGTACACCCTGGCCGTGGAGGCGGCGACCTCCTTGGAAGGGGTGCATTTGGCGGTCGTGCTTGGGCATGCCGTGCCGACGAGGACCGCCCTTGGGTTGTCCGCGTATGTGCGGGGGGGGATGCATTCCGTGGGGAGGGCCATCCGACCCGGCATGCATCATCGCCATTTCTTCTTCTCCTTCGCTCTCGCCGCCGCCGTGGTGGTGGTGGTGGTGGTGGTGGTGGTGGTGGCCGGGTCCGTGGTGGAGGTGCAGTCCACCGTATTCATCGAACGGTCCGCGGGCCGGTCCGTGGGTAGGGCTTGACGAGCGGCGGCGATCACCGTGAGCAGGACGTCTGCCGTGGGCCGTGGCCATGGCGGTGCGGCGGAGGACCATGCGGAGGGGGGCCGCGAGGCCTACCCATCATGCCTCCACCGTCACGGTGGTGGTGGTGGCCACGACCTCCAGGGCGACCGTGGCGCTGGTGAGGAGGACCGCTCTTCCTGCCTCCAGGCCTGGACCGCCGAACCTCTTCGCGCTGAACGAGCCCGAGCTTGACTAGGCGGTGAGGTCCTACGCCGAGCGCACGGAGCAACGGCCTGGGCTTCGCGGGGCCGGAGCTGGACGCCCGCGGCAACAAACACCGCGTGGATGGGGTGCTTGCTGGGTCCGGCCTCGATGCCGATGCTGTCCTGGGTGGCGATGTTGTCGTGCTCGGTGTCGCTGCCGTCGCTGCTGTTGCTGTTCGAGTCGTCCGAGACCGGGTTGTTGTCCGCTTGCTCTGGCTCGACTTCGGATCCGCTGCTGCTGCTGCTGCTGCCGCTGCTGCTGTCCGTGTTGTTCGCATCAGCGTCGTCACGTGCTGATTTTCCCTTGAGGAGCAGCTTTGGGGCAAGTCCCTGCGCCACGAGGCGGCCGGGGCGGAGCTGAAGCAGGACCATGGTCTTCTCCAGGCCGCCCGTTGTCATGGAGGGGACACCGTGGTACTCGCGAAGGTTGCTCGCTGCAGCCTTGTACAGCAGAGGGTTCGACTCTCCCGTACGCTTGCAGCTGGGCTTGTTCGTCACGCACGATGTCATGCTGGCGTCGTCGTTGTTGTTGTTGTTCTTGTTGTTGTCCGTGGCCTTGCTGTTCATGTTGTTGTTGTTGTTGTTGTTGTTGTTGTTGTTGTTGTTGTTGTTGTTGTTGTTGTTGTTGTTGCTGTTGTTGTTGTTGTTGTTCTTGATGCTGTCCATAGTTGTGTGAGGAGGTGGGGCGGGCGAGAGGGCGAGGGCGAGTGCCAGATGCGGCGTAACCTTTTTCTAGAAGATGAGAAGATCGCCGTTCCGCAGGCTCTTTTGGAGTCTGGGAACCGGTCTTGGTTCTTCGGGAACGATTTTCGAGCTTCTCTCTCTCGGGCGAGTGCCGGGGCGGTGTAACCTCCTTTAAGATGAGAAGATCGCCGTTCCGCAGGTTCTTGGGGAAGCTGTGGGAACCGTTCGTGGTTCTTCGGGAACGTTTGACCTCGTAACCTTGCTGCTCTCTTTGCGCGTTGACGGCGTGACCAAAACCGTAAAATCAACGTAACTATTTTATCATAGGACCGCGTCGATGAAACCGACGTTTTTTCTTGTAGCAGAGTGATGATGACCATTCGTTGTCGAAGGTTTGAGAGAGCCGGGGATGACCGACAAAGATCGATCATATCTCACTACGGTCCATGTAATCCGGCGACAGCAGTGCTATACGCTGGATGCCTGTCACGCACAAGGGCTACACACAAATAGGTGTGTGTGTCGTTTGGCGCCGTGATCGGTGATGATGTGATCGACGCCTATACCGTAACCAACGGTCTCTTCGCCGTTAAACGAAGGGCCCGACGGTCCTTTGGCGCATCCGGAGGCAATAAAAAAAAGAACATGAATAATTCATTAATATATAAATCTGTTCACGCAACGACAAACATCACAAAGGTTCATTCCCACAATATACAAAAACGCCATCATTCATTACGTTACAGAAAGGAGTCACCTCCAGCATGAACGCTCAAAACCATCACCCGTAAGGGCTGGGGGGGGGGGGGGTAATATGAAACCACAAACCTTAAACTGGTCATGAACATTCATTCGCGGCACTTGAGTGCACGACGCAATCCATGTGCACTGAGGCAACGGGAAAAAATCGTTTAAGATAGAGTACGCAACAATCATATCCTAGATTCGAGGTGCTTGAGCAGAGAACACACTGAGTCAGCGAAAAGGCTGAAGTTGACACCTATCATACACTGCTGTACATCAATCCCTACAAACTTTGGGGAATCCTGATCGCCTCCTCCATACCGCTCCTGAATTGAGCACTTTTCAATTAATGCAGCACTGCTTTCCTCGTTCGGGAAGCGTTCGAAAGCATCAGGCAATACGCTATTATTACGAAGACAATTTTTTCACGAAAACCCACGTACATGCATCTCGTACCTTGGGGTGTGGTTGAAACCAACACAAGTTGTTTGCCGCGGAGGCCAAGCGCAGAGCGCGGCTCCGAGAGCTCCCCGGTATTCACCCGCTGCATGACATGAAAGCTAACCAAGCCCTCTTTTTTCAGAGGGATATACTCATGATATCATACTGCAGCCCCTCCTCGTCTGCCATCGTAAGAAGAACAAAAGAAAAAGGCCCATTGGTATCAACACCATTTGTCCTACTGCGATCCGTCGCCCACACTAGACTACCAGAAAAAGTTACGGTTTCTAAGGACTAAAACTTGTGGTTTCAAAGAACTACAACCAGCAAAAAGGATGCTCCACACGGGTACTTTACAAACAACATAATATATAGATGGCGAGGCCATCAGCAAAAACTCGCGTCCAGAGTACATCGCCATGGGTGGGAATGATGGTCACCCATCGCCTGAGACAAAATACAACCTCCCGCGGCCTACAATACTACACGCAAGACAGAGTGTTCAGGGCAAACAACATCTCAACCGGCTACCAATCGCTTCATACTCTGAGAGGTTACTCCCCCTACCATGGGACGTACGAATGGCAGGTTACAGCTCAAGCCTCCAACCCACGTCATGTGCTTATTTTCAGAACGGAAGGGCGAGGCAAAACTTCAGCGAAACAAACCACAGAGTGAATGAACCAAGCTTGGTGCCGCATTGCGGTCAACCACAAGGCAAACGATCGGCCCAAGCGCCTGCCGGGTGCCCCAAGACCAGGCGCAACTTCCAACCAACACATTTACACTTGCGCTTTGCACCTCTTGTTGTAGGGGACGATGAGATGCAAGCAAGCCTTACACGACAAAAAAAAAAAGTGCGATGCTACACTTCCCCCCCGCAAACAGCCTCCCTTTAGCACCCACTATCTACATAACCACGGAACAAACTAAAGCGGGGTTCGTGATTCTGAAAGGAGGGAGTCCGCATACATGGTAGCACGCGAACTTTGTCAGCGAGACTTCGCCATGGCGGCAACACTCACTCACTCACTCACTCACTCAGCGGCAAAGAGCGCGGAACCAGCGTCAACCGAAGCAGGGCCGGAAGCTGCACAAGGTGCGGCGGACCGCACACCGACGATGATAAAAAGAAAAAAAAGAAGAAAAAAAAAAAAGACGAGTCGAAAAAGAGGTGACCCAAGCCGACATGACGGCACCCGGCCAGCCACACAGCAGCGCAGCAAAACAAACGGCGGAAAGGGGGACGGGAACGGTTCAGCTTTGCGAAACAACGGGATACATACCTGTACAACTAAGGCACCTACACTGTAGGCGTCTATCTTCTCTTGGTAGCCAACGCCCCGTAATTTCTGTCAATCTGGCAAAGGATGGCAGCTTTTCATATCTAAAAAGTAAGTTGCGAGGACGACAATAGGATTCGATGCAAGCAGAGTCGGCCGGGCGTATTGCGGCACAGAGCAACATCTCGGGGTAGACAGGAAAACCCTCGAGCTAAACGCAGCCCAGATATCTTGACAACATCGATGGTCGGCAAAGCAACCCGTGTGAAGCAAGTGATACGGGATACTGTAGAGACGCCGCAGGCAGGTTGTGGGGCGCTACGGCGCTTCATGCACATGATTCTTACAACCCCACTATAATACAATAGTGACAGCTGGCCCTATCAATCTTGCTGCAACAACAAGCATGCTCGTTACCCAGGGTCCATTCCCGCAGTACAGCAACAAAGCAAAGCTAAGTAAGCCTTGAGGGTAGGTTCACGCTTGGGGATGGATACTTTCAAGACATTGGGCAATCAGGATAATTCGCTGTTCAAGGGAAATTAGCAATGCTTCATGACTTGCTACCGGCGTACCCAATAAATTAGATTAAACGTATCACAGCACAGCAGTAGGAAGGGGATTGACCACGAGGACGGAGAAAGGGAGTTCCACTCACCCAGCGAAGCGGCGTCGGCAAGAAGGAAGGTAATGGGCAGGCAGTACTCCCTGAAATGGACAACCAGGTTCCAGAACACCGTCCGATCCACGCTCCTCCTGCTGGCGTTAGCCCCCCCCCCCTCCCGCCACGCGGCGTCACCCCCTCCTCCCGAAGGCGGCTGTGCTCCTCCTGGGCATTGTCGGTCGAACAGCCACATCATCACATCGCAAACCGGGGGGACTCAGGTCAAGGATGTGCGAGTGAGATACAGCGTCGGAGGGGAGTGGGTTGGAATCAACAACATGAATTGGGGGCGGGGGGGGGGGGGGGGGGGGGGGGGGAAAAAAAATGAATTGGGCCCCAACCTCCCCAAACATTTTAAAAAAAATCCCCCCAAGAAAGGAACCCCCCAAAAATTTCCTAAAAATTCCCCCAAAAACAAAAGGTTCCCCCCCCTTGGG